CTGGTATTTAACATTTGTGTTAATATAAAGGCATCAGAGTCCTGGCTGAGTTCCCCCTTGTGGCACAGGCAACTGGATGTGTGTTTCTAGGTTCCCTTGGGTCTGGACCACTGTTCCCACTAAGCTGTGTGTCTGTGTGCACACAGAACAAAAACTTGCACAGAAGCACAACAATTTGCACAAATATTTTGCGCACATGGCCTGTCAAAAATTAGAGGAAACACTGTTTTGGACAAGCTTCAGTTCCGGTCTCTGACCTCTCAGGCATGCTTCCTGGGTACAGACTCACTATCTGGTGCCACTTCTAGGGAATGGATCCTTATGGTTCAGCTCCCAAGCTACTCCAGTGGCTCAAGCACACTTCCCCAGAGCAACACCCTTGTGGGTACCCTGGTTTTTAGTTTAACCCTTTGGGGTCATATGACAGGTTGTTTTCTTTTGTTTTTGAAAGCCTGTTCCAACACTTTGTTTCTTTTTTCCTTCTCTTCTGCTGGGTATTTTCCACTGCTCCAACCATTCCACTTGCAGACAACCTGGGTAGAACTGGTTTTCCCCTAGGCAGCATTATTCCATTGTTCAAATGTGCTGTCATTTGAATGGAAGGCTATTCAGGTTAACTATCTCGGCTGGGAGATGTGACTCCAGCCCTGGCAGCAACTGGCTGATTTGTCATACATTGAAACATTCAGTGATACAAAACTTTCATAAAATCATAAGTTTCACATAGACATAGTTTTGGAACTATCCCAGAAGGCTTACCAAAAAACTTTGTTTCCTCCATCAAAGGTTCTGTTACAAATATGGACTGGGATATAGGGAAGGTGGACCATTTGAATATTTTGTTTATGGAACTGCTTGCTCTGAGGTTGAAATTGACAGTCTTACAGGAGACAACAAAGTAATGGTAACACTACTTTGCATTTCTATAATACCTTCCATCTAAGGATCTTTTACCAGAACTATTAATGAATTAAGCCTCTGTTGTGAGGTGGACTGGGGCCCAGATGCAGGGGGTGGAACTTGGGGAAGGGGGTCTGGATGCAGGTAGGGTGGGGCTCAGTGGGGGGGGGGGGTCCAGGTTCAGAGGGTCTGTGGATGCACAGGGGTTGGGTGGACGGTGGAGCAGCTCCCCATACAGCAATCCTTCCCTCCCATAGCTGAGAAACAATGGGGGCAGGAAGCAGGAGGGGGTGTGGAGCCTCCTGAAGCTGGGGGAGGTTTCTGGGGGTGAGTCTGACCAGTTTCAGCCACTCCTTGCCGGGGAAGAGGAAGTCCTGTCCTCCCTCACCCCAGCTGGGACTAGCAGCTGAGCCCGGCGCAGGGCAGAAGCCACTGGCTGGGGCATCCCCAAACATGCCCCCCTTGTCGGTAATTTACCTCTCTGCTGGCTGCTCCAGGCACCCAAAATGATGCGCCCGCACTGCTTGGGAGGGACTTTGCTTCCCCATCATTTTCTGTGGAGAAGCAAAGAAATCTGCAGGGGCCGTGAATTCTATACATGCATAATGACAGGTTTCAGAGGAACAGCCGTGTTAGTCTGTATTCGCAAAAAGAAAAGGCGTACTTGTGGCACCTTAGAGACTAACCAATTTATTTGAGCATGAGCTTTCAGTGAGCTGTAGCTCACAAAAGCTCATGCTCAAATAAATTGGTTAGTCTCTAAGGTGCCACAAGTACTCCTTTTCTTTATACATGCATAGTGACCCAGAATTCCCCCACCAGGAGTACCGCCTGTGCAGATCAAGTTGTAGGATTGGGAGCATCATCTCCAAACTCTAAGAAAACATCTTGCCTTTGGTTCAAACAAAGATGACTTTCTATTCCATTTTAAATATCTTCTGTCTGATTTTATAGATAATAAAAACCACAGTTAGATATGGAGCAGGGGTAGTCCATAGGTGGACCATGGGCCAAATCAAGATTGCCAGATGTTTTTGAATGGACCCCAAAATCTTTTTATTTACTTAATATAATTGTTTTATTTTTTCTCTGGAGTCTGGACCTTGGTTATGCCTTGACGAAGAAATTTGGACCTTGACAAGAAATCAACTACCTTTGGTCTGGAGAATAAATTCACAAAGATTTTTGAGCTGGTGCTGAACAGGGGAGAATGTACTTAGTTATATTACAGCAACAAATTCAGAAGTTTATGAATCAAGAATACTACTTTTTCAGTATAATATTGCACTGGTACTACAAAACAAAAATTAATGAATATTTTCTTTACCTATGTGTCAGTATATTGCTGCAGTCATGTTTTAATTAATCTTTTGATTAGACCATTCTCTTGGACTTTCAGTAAATTTAAACAGTACTTGTTTAATATTTATTTGTCCATGTGATCCAGAAAGCATGTACTATGTATGATGTATTAAAATGTTCTGCACTTGCCATACTGTTCTTTCCTAACCTATCTGGTGAATGAAAATATCAGTTTGATTTAAGATAAAAGTAAGTGCTGTTTCCAGTGCCACAACATAATTTTATTGTGCCTAAAACTATTTGTAACCATTTGTTGTGGATATTTATGGTTGTGGTTATTGTTGATATTTTATATAGTTAAATGTTATTGTATTATAATAATCTTAGTTTGTTTTTTTATTTCCAAAGTACCTTCAATCTTTCCTGTCTTTCTCCCCACCCAAACCCCCCCCCCAACCTCCCAAACACATTTTGTTATCCTTCTATAATTAATTCCAAAGTACTTAATCTACTGTTTTCAGTTGCATATTTCTAACCTAGGGCAAGAAAACTGCTGTTCTTAACTTTCAGTGTTGCAGTATTAAAGGAATCAAATACAGTAAAGGAAGTATTTTTGAATTATTGTTATTTGTTTTGTAAGTTCTTCTGCTCTATAGTTATCCTGCACCTTTTTTCACTGAGCTGGTGCTGAAAAAGGGAGAATGTACTTAATTAAATTCACCCAAAACAATTTAGAGCAACAACTTCAGAAGATCAAGTATTTTTCTATTTACTTTTGTCATAATTACAAATTCATGAAGATGTGTAGTCATTGAGCGTCTATACTAATTATATAGCATCTCTCATCTGGGCAATTGCTAGGCATGAGGGAGACAGCAGCTGCTTCCTCGAGGCTGGTGGCTTTCAACCTATGGCCACAGACCCCGGGGGGGGGGGGGCTTAGAGCCTATGCCTAAGATTTCCAAAGGGATCCCCACCTCCACTTGAAATTTTTTACGGGTCCGCAAATGATTAAAAAGTTGAAAACTACGGCTCTAGGAACGCCAGGCTCCCCCTACCTGTACCTTCAAACTCATCTTTCTCGTTACTGCTTCTTAGACATACAGTAAACCAAATTTCAGATGCCTTTAATAAAGGCAGTGTTTTCTGCAGTATCGATCATTCTATATGTACTTTACGTATGGTCGTGTCCTGTTCTAGTTCCAGACCTCGTGTGCCTCTTACTCTACACTCCCCTTGGCACCTACACGTTGCTACGTGCACTACATCCAAGCCCACTTGGGGGAGGCGGGGAGTTTCGATAGCGCCCCAGGCCATACTGGAGAAGTAAAATATGCAAACTACAGCGATGAGCACCACGTCACCTACACGTTGCTACGTTAGCCCCAAATCCCGTGTGTCCTCTTTACATCTTGTATTTAATTACACCCTAGCTGGATGGCTAGATTTTGAATGGGGGAAGGGAAGCACTGGCATTTATATTTAAAAGCGCAGTGAACTCGACTGTAGTCACCTATTTGGCAGTTTTCAGCCATGCTATCAGTGCGCGTGATTGTATTATTTGCAAAGACCTCTACTTTGTCCAGTGCTTTAACGGGCGAGGGAGGCGCTGACAGAGGGGTGGGTGACGGTCGCTAACTGAGGAGCAGATTTGGCCAGCAGAGCTCCGGCAGCAAACCCCGTCAGAGCCCAGTGCCCCGGGCTGAGCTCTTATGGGGGCAGGTGGGTCACCTGCGTGCCCCGAGGAGCCTGCAGCGCCCAGCATCCCCACGATCCCTGCGCAAGCTACTTCCCGCTCTACGACTTAGCAAGCCACGCCCCCCCCTGCCCGCGCGCCGCCTGCCCTGCCCGCGCGCCCCCGTGCGAGTTCCGCCCCGCCCCCACCACGTTCAGACCTCCGCCTCGACCCAAGCGGCGCGCGCGCTTCCCCTGTCCCCGCGCCCCGGTTGCTCGGTCTCGGGCGCGCGGTGCCCAGAGGCGGCTGCGCGCGCCCCGCGGAGCAGCAGTTTAACGGCCGTTGCGTGAGGGGTCGCGCAGCTGTAGTCTGCTCCGCTCGGGCCGGGGGAAGCAGGTGATGGGGCTACGGACTCACGTCCGGCCTTTCGGCCAGCCTAAGCTGCGCCCGCAGTCTGGGGTGCGGGGATGCAAGGAGGTTACTTCGTGGAGAGAGGGGCGGGCAGTGGCGCCTGGGTCGCCCCCTGGCCGAAGGCTTTGCCGTGCGAGGCAAGCCCGCCAGCCTGGCCAAGGGCCGGGATTTGGCGTGAGCTGGGCCGATTTCCGCCTGCCCCACAGCTCCCCTCCGGAGGGAGGGGTGTGGGGCTCCTCACAGCTCTGGCCCGCCTGCGGCCCTGTGCTGCGTAGGGTTCCCCGCCGCCGCACACGGCTCTTCTCTGGCACTGCGCTGTCTGACGGGGACCGCCCGCTGCCCCGACTCCCCCTGCTCTTCAGCGCATTTCCCCGCCGGCTCTGCCCGCCGTGAGAGGGGGCTTTGGCCTGCCTGATGCCCCGACCCCGGCACTAGCGCGCTTGGCGAAGAGCGGTGGGTGCAAGCCAAGCCCGGGGCGGCTGGAAAGCAGGGCACTCGCTCCGCTGAGTAGGGGAGTGGTAGACATAGTGCGGGACCGCCGGTCCCGGTGCACGGCCACTTGCTCTGCTCATCGCTGTAGTTTGCATATTTTACTTCTCCGGTATGGCCTGGGGCGCTATCGAAACTCCCGGCCTCCCCCAAGTGGGCTTGGCGTGGTGCACTTCCCAGCATGTGAAGCACAATCATCACGGAGTCTCAGGAAGGTGTGAGCACAATCGGATACCAACAGCTGTTGTGTAAACCTTTAATCTCTGTTTCAGGAATATGTAATGAGATTGTGATCATTCATATGTCTCTGGATCAGTGGTGTAGTCTCCCCCCCACTTCCTCCAGCCAGCCTTGCGGGGGGTGAAGGACACTCTGCCACTGGGTCACCTGAAGCTCACCCACTGGGCCAAAGGGGTGTGCCCAGGGGCCCCAGCCAATTGAGGGGCCCTAGACAAATGGGTGCCCCTGCCTGCTGCACCCCCTCTGCTCAGCGCTCCTGTGAGGGTGTAGGGGCTTGCCTTGCTCCACTCTCAGGCTGGAGTGCCGGGTGGGGTGGGGCAAGCCGCCCCCCCCCCCACTCCCCAGCTGGAGTGTCGGGCGGGCAGAGCCGGGGCTGGGGGATGGCCCTGCATGCTAAGTGAGTGAGCCGTGGCCCGCCTGTGGCTATGCCCCTGTTCTGGATCTTTTAAGATGACTCCATTGATAAATGTCCTCCAAATGGATGAACCTCAAAGGAGACCATGACATTTCCCCCCAAGTCCAATTCCAGTTCTTCCGCACTGTCAGAGTTGTGTTAAGTTTTAGTTATAAAGCTGAACTGGGAGCTATTTTAGGTCTCCTAATTCAGGGTTTTTTTAAAATTTAGCTTAAAAGGTTAAATGAGCCTACCTACATGCTAACAGCATCAAGTGGGTTTATGAAGGAATTGATTGATTTTTGTATTTAAATTGTCTAATATTCATTTTTAAAATATCCTGCTAAAAGTAGTTGGAAAATTCTTTTTATTATTTCACCTGTCTCCCCACTTTTTTGTGTGTGGTGAGGTTCCAGTGTGCATCTTTGTCAATTGGTACATGGAGACTGTATCTATAAAACCCAAACGACCAGTCAGAACATGACAGGACACTCATCCAAACTAAATGTGTCCCAAGTTACCAACTCTTTTAATTTTAGCAAAGTTTTGTTGTGTTTGATGTTTTTCATAAAACCAGGCTTCTAAAGTTGTGTGACTGTAAGCATTCATTTTTTTAAAAAATAGATTTTTAGCCCATGTGGTTACAAAGTTAAGCCTGAAAATGTGACTGAACTGCCCTTTAGAGGCTCAGAAATCAAGAGGGTAAAAACAAAACCTGAAATATATTTTGAAATCTCATAATTTTTAAGCTAATCTCATGATTTTTGGAACCCTGACATGATTTTTGAAAACTTCAGGTTGGAAATACTGTAAACTCCAATGCTGTTAAAATGAAGGCAGAGTTTTGTGAAGCTGGTTTAACAGAACAGCAGTTGATCAATTACATTCTGAATCCTCAGCAGTGAAGTGGGCTAGAATATATTTCCTCTTTAAATGTAAATTTGAGTGAATCAGAAAATAAAGTGGAGCTAGCAAGATCCAAAAACTGTGATACATTCATTTTACATGTTTGTTAAATACTTTGCTACTCTTAAACCATTAGGGACAACTGAGCTAACTTGACATTTTTATCTGAGAACCCTGAGATCTCTGAAAACTGAGCTATCTCTAGGGTTAAGAGGGATAAGTAACCCTAAATTGAGACCTGTTACTTTTTATTTTTAAAAGCACAAGCATAAATGTGTCTTTATAGTGTGGATAAGAACAGAACATAAGAATGACCATACTGGGTCTGACAAGTGGTCCATCTAGCTCAGTATCCTGTCTTTCAACGGTGACTAGTGCTAGATGCTTCAGAGAGAATGAACAGAGCAGGGTATTTATTGAATGATAAATCATGTGTCGTCCAGTCGCAGCTTTTTTTGGACAGTGAGAGGCTTAGGGACATCCAGATCATGGGGTTACATCCCTGACCGTCTTGCCTAATAGCCATTGACAAACCTATCTGCCATGAATGTATCTAATTCTTTTTTGAACCTAGTTATACTTTTGGCCTTCGCAGTATCCCCTGATAATGATTTCCACTGTGTGTTGTGTGAAAAAGTACTTCCTTATGTTTGTTTTAAACCTGCTGCCTATAATTTCATTGGATGGTCACTGGTTCTTGTGTTATATAAAGGGGTAAATAACATGTCCCTTCACTTTCTCCACACCATTTGTGATTTGATAGACCTGTATCATATCCCTCCTTAGTCATGTCTTTTCTAAGATGAACAGTCCCAGTCTTTTTAATCTCTTCTCATATGGAGCTGTTCCATACCCCTAATAATTTTTGTTGGCCTTCTCTGTACTTTTTCCAATTCTGATATATCTTTTTTGCGAGGGGGCGACCAGAACTGCATGCAGTATTCAAGGTGTGGGCATACCATTTTGAATTCAGAGCTCAAAAGCTTGTCTCTATCACTAACAGAAGTTGATCCAATAAAAGATACCACCTCACATACCTTGTCTTTCTGATATCTGGGGACCAACATGGCTATAACAACCCTGCAAGCAATCTTTATATTGTATCCTTTTGGAATTTTTTTCTTTGTGATAAACAGGGCCTTTTGGACAATGGCGAACAAAGCAACTGCTGAAACATCCTCCATTTTCATGCAGGGTTCCATTAGAGGGCACATGAAAGAGAAGAAGGATAGAGCTTTAAAAGCTGCAAAACTGAATGCCTGTCTTGCATCTAAAATCAAAACTAAAATAATAAGTGAGTGTAATTACTTTAAAGTAAACTGTTACAGCAATTTAATCCATATACTGTGTGCACCATTGAAGTAAATGGGGTGATGGATGTGCTTAATGTTTGCTAAATTGCCTAAATAAAGAGGATTATCATTAATATAATATTAAGGTTGAGAATTGAAAGATGGTCTTGTGACTAAAACATGTTACTTGGAATGACAAGTATTGTGTTCTTTATCTGGTTCTTTGCTAGACTTTCTGTCCTTGACCTTTGGCAAGTCAGCTAGGCCAAACCTTTTAAAAGTGCACACTAATTTCAGATGCCTCAGTGGTAGAGATCACTTGATCATTACCTGTTAGGTTCACTCCCTCTGGGTGCTCCTCTGGGGCACCTGGCATTGGCCACTGTTGGCAGACAGCATGCTGGGCTGGATGGACCTTTGGTCTGATCCAGTATGGCCATTCTTATGTTCTTATGTAGTTGTGGTTGTTCAACATGTCTACAGTCAAGATGTAGTTATCTCATATTGGCCACCAAAATTAGTGGATTTTAAAATGTTGACATTAAATTCTGTGTGCCTCACTTTTCCTCATCTACAAAATATGATGGGTTGTAAATAAGTCATGGGGCCATAATTGAATGATGAGGATAACCAAAACTCTTGAACAGCTGCATTATTCTCTGAACAGTATCTGACCTGTGCACTGAATGAGTCAAGAATAGCGTCATTTTACAGACTCCATAGCTAAACACATAGTTTTGGCATGTTCTTTATGAGAGACAATGCAATGAGATATGTGAATGAGACGGGTTTGTTGTGTTAGAAACTTGGATTCTATTCCCAGCACTGCAACCTCTCAGATCTTCAAATATCTCAGCTTTAAATGTGGGAAAATCATAAATACTTATATCTCCGAAGGCAGAAGTGTGAGGCCTTGCTCAGTAATCATTTTGAAGGTCACAGAATTAGTAACATAGGTACTGGAAGAAGTGCAACCAGAACTTAAGGTCTTCTTGCTCCCAGCCCAGAACAGCTTTTGTTAGGCCAAAAAGTGATAAAGCAACTGGAAACAAAGGTTTGTAATGTGTCTTAGGTCAACTGTAACCATTGCTACTGCTTCATCAGAACTATGAGTAATGTCATGAGGAGTGAGCAAAAAGAAAATTATGATTATTTTGTTTCTTTCTACAGACAACTCTTCTATTTTTAAGATATCTTTAAAACATAATAATAAAGCATTGGCTCTGGCTTTGACTCTGGAGAAGGAAAATACTCGGAGGCTGAAGAATGAGAAGATCTTTCTACAGAAAGAAGTAGAGGAGTTGCATTTTTATAATGTCGTGCTTCGTCAAAAATTAAACTGTTTGGTATGCTGTAATTATCATAATACTTAAACCTTCTGAGCAACTAAAAAACAAATATCACATTTTAGTGGAAACTTCAGAGAAAATTAGTTTAATTTTTTTAACTAGAACATTTAAAAATATTTTACCTACAGTAATTATTTCAAATACACAGTTGCCAACAGGATGGAAAAAGGTGGGGCTATATATTATCTCTCAGTAAAATTCTTGTTCAGAATTCATTTTTCCTTTATAAGATCACCTCATGCTTCTGACTGATCTGGAACTCAACAACACACCTCTGTGTGGACATTTTAATCCCAGTTTTACTTTTGTATTTTTCTGTAAGCAAATTAATCAAATGTAGAAATTGCTTCTTCCTCTGCCTTGACCATGAAAAGGTTACAAAATATTTTTACTGTTGTTTATGATTTCTTCCTATATAAGGGCTTAACTGTTTAAAAGAGAATTCCATCTTTAAGGCCTCATTTATATTTTTATATACAGAATAAAACTCTCATAGAAATAGAAGCATTTATGAATAACAACCTTTTAACAGCAATTGAAATGAGCAGTTTTTCTGAGGTAAGTGTCTTTCGTTTGTATATTTACAATGTTGTAAATAAAAGGGGGTAAGGCTATCGTGTCTGCTGCTTAGTCTTATAGTCCATACTATTTAACTTTTGACCAGGGGTAAAATTTCCAAAAGTGCCTAAGACCCATTGATCGTCAATGGAATGTAGGCTTCTAAGTCATTTAGGTGCTTTTGAAAATTTTACCCCAAGTGTTTAGATTTTTGGGATGAAATCCTGGCCCCAGTGAAGTAAGTGGGAGTTTTGTAATTGATTTCAAAGAAGCCGGGATTTCACCTTTTGTATTTCGAGAACCTGGTTCTAAAGTTACTTAGCTACTTATCCTGATGAAGCCACATTGTGCAAAAGTGCTGTTGGTAAATTAGCAGGTGGCAGTCTTCCTCAGAGAGCTAGTACTATTCTAACCTCCTGTGGTGTTCGAGGGAACTGTGCTGTGGGGGATTCTCCTCTTTTAGATGAGACCTCTGCCTGAAAAATGAGGTAGGAGCCCTGGTATCATGGCAGAATTCCAATTTAGGTAATACATTTTGCTTTCCTTTATACCTATATAGTTTCAACACAATATTTTTTCACTTTCTGTTCTAAACTATTGAACTCAATTGCTGTGCACTCTTGTATAGCTTCTGCATTTCAGTGATGTATGAAATAATTTCTGCATGTGTATGTGCTTTGGGATTAAAATAATCTGTAAATATAAAAAAAAAAATTTTTCTTTGAAATAGTTGTATTCTTTTGAAGGAATGTTCTCTAGGCTGTATAAATATATATAATGTGCATATCACATATGCAATGGTAATAGCTCTATGATAAACTGCAATATATCATCCACTTTTCATCACCTCACCTGTTCTCTGTCCAGTGATTGATTTACCTTGGGACTATGTATAATACTCCAGACCTTTGAGCAGTTTCTAACATGGCTACTTCACTTTTTTTCTTATTTTTAATAGCATATTCAGAATCCTCTTACACTGACAAGTGGTCAAAGCAGCTGTGTTGATCATCAGTCCAAGACTTTGTATCATTCAGTTAGGTAATATGGGTCTGTTTCACAAACTGGGTGAGCATGCAAATGTGAAATTCTGCTAAAATCTGTCAGGGGCTTTTATAGACCTAATTGCTGCATGCTGTTCTAGAATAAAGAAGAGAGATTTTTTTAAAAAAGGTAATCAGAAAGCTTTTGTGTCTAGTTTGCAAAAAGATGGTTTGAGACATCAAATTATTAGCAAAATATACAAATAGGCAAAACTGTTGTCTACATAAATTTGGTCATTTCTCTCTAGCATTTTCTGCTCACTTTTATATATTTATGCGATACATTATACATTATATTTCTCCTTCATAGTAAAACTTCCTCTTTTCAGATCTGTAAGAATGCCAATGAAGGAACCATTAATTGCAGTACATAATGCAAAACAGCAAGGCAGCCTTTCATTGTGTGAAAAATCAGAAGATCTTTGTAACCTCACCTCTGTAATATCAAATGAAATTTGCCCAGCTCAGATCAGTGTTGAATTGTTGTTAGAGTCTGAGAAAAATAACCAAAAGTCAAATGAAATAGACAAAATGGAAACAATCTTTGACTCAAATATATTTTTCAGAGGTATGCTGTATTAATTTTTTGTAATCAATTTGTTTTTAGAAATTACTATGTTTAGTATATAAAATAAATTAATTATGGTGAGATACAGTACATATACATGATAAATAAAAGCCACCGTTCATTTCAGTGGAGACTTCTGGGGATTTCATAAGCCTTAATATTTTCTGTCATTTAATTGCAAACAAGGATGCCCATCCACACCTATGCATAAATCAACAATTGAGCACTTTCACTGACTGCAACTGTGGTAATACAACATAAAGAGGTAGATGGTTTTAATTAGCAAAATCCCAGGCTATCTAGGGCTTTATAGATCAGAACCAGCACCTTAAAATCCCTGCAAAACCCAGTGTACATCTCAGAGCATTGTTATCATGTCTTCTCGACAAGAAACACTACTTAAATAGAGCGGTGCTTCATTCTGCACCAGCTTCAGTTTCCAAATGTTTCTAAGGTGTAGAGCACATTGCAGTAGTCTTATTGTGAAATAGCAAGTTTTTCTTCAAGTGATGGTCCTTGTTCTACTATGGGGTTACGCATGCGCACTATACACCTGGAGTCAGAGAATTTGGAAGAAGTGTCTGTTGGTCTGCGCATGCACCCTGACTCACCTCATGCCTCCGACTGAGGTGATAAAGGGAGGGGCAGACTAACTGCCCCTTCAGTTCCTTCTCTCCGCCACATGGTCTGGATCCTAACCTTTAGTGTCCTCAGCTCTCTGATGTCTTTCTGAAAAAGAATATTAATTCAGTTACAAATAGTTCATAGTTTTAATAGTTCTTAATAACTTTTATAGATGTAGTAGTTTTAATAGTTTTTAGTATCTTTTAGAATTAGATTAGGCAACGGGGGGGACTCCGGACCACTCTTCTGTGTACCAGACTGTCATAAATATCAAGGGAAGGGTTACCACCTTTCTGTATACAGTACTATAAAATCCCTCCTGGCCAGAGGCAAAATCCTTTCACCTGTAAAGGGTTAAGAAGCTAAGATAACCTCGCTGGCACCTGACCAAAATGACCAATGAGGAGACAAGATACTTTCAAAGCTGGAGGGGGGGGGGAGACAAAGGGTCTGTCTGTCTATGAGATGCTTTTGCCAGGAACAGATCAGGAATGCAGCTCAGAACTCCTGTAAAAAGTTAATAAATAATCTACCTAGAAATGCATTAGATTTCCTTTTGTTTAATGGCTGGTAAAATAGGCTGTGCTGAATGGAATGTATATTCCTGTTTTTGTGTCTTTTTGTAATTTAAGGTTTTGCCGAGAGGGATTCTCTATGTTTTGAATCTGATTACCCTGTAAGGAATTTACCATCCTGATTTTACAGAGGAGATTCTTTTACCTTTTCTTTAATTAAAATCCTTCTTTTAAGAACCTGATTGTTTTTTCATTGTTCTTAAGATCCAAGGGTTTGGGTCTGTGTTCACCTGTACAAATTGGTGAGGATTCTTATCAAGCCTTCCCCAGGAAAGGGGTGTAGGGCATCGGGGGATATTTTGGGGGAAGACGTCTCCAAGTGGGCTATTTCCCTGTTCTTTGTTTAACACGCTTGGTGGTGGCAGCATAGGGTTCAAGGACAAGGCAAAATTTGTACCTTGAGGAAGTTTTTAACCTAAGCTGGTAAGAATAAGCTTAGGGGGTCTTTCATGCAGGTCCCCACATCTGTACCCTAGAGTTCAGAGTTGGGAAGGAACCTTGACACGGACTATGCCCAGAACTCCGAGCTTCAAACCCTGCATCTCTCACCCGTGATCCTTCTCAGTCAGCGATGACCATCAACGCTGCCTCTAGTGACTGGGAGAAACTCACATCGCAGTTCGGTGCAGTATTTGCCAGGCCTTCCACAGCCCTACCCTGGAAGGGCAGGCACTTCATCTCTGCAGGTATCATGCAGGTGGCCATGAGATTCCAATTGGACCCAGGCCGGGGAATGCCCCTGTACATCGGCCTGAATCAGCAAGGAGTGCGCATCCTGCTGCAAAGTCCTATTCCGGTGCTGGAGAATCTACCCTCACAGACCCTAGGGTGGGACCTAGTCAGGAAGTACTCCCAGAAGATTGGGAGTACTTGGGAGATTCGGAACCATTGAAGGAACCACTCCTCCTATACCACCCTTACCCATTTCCCAGGAGCCCCATATGCTCTGGGACCAACCACCACCGAACCTGACTAGGAGTCACTGGTATCCCATGCCATGGGGATCTCCATAACCACCTGTTGACCCCTCTTACTGGCCATATGGGGGACCCTTGCACCAGTGCCCTCTTTCAGAATCTATCCAATCCTCCAGGGAGTCGCTGCCTGCCTCCCCTGTGAGGGAACCATCAATTTAACCCCAGATCTGATCAAGGAGAAGGAGTGCTACACTCCAGTTCTGGCGGTTCCACCAGAACAGGCTGGACAACCATCATCATTGCCGGATGAAGCAGTGACGTCGACATCGCTTTTCCCTCCGGATGACTTCGGGCAGTTCCAAGATCTGCTGTGCAGACTCACTGGGGGACTTCAGATTGCATAGAGGAGATCCAGGACTCCCAACACAGGCTCTAGGACATCCTCCACACCTATGGACGTACAAGAGTAGCCCTACTGATTAATGAGTCCATACTAGAGCCGGCTAGGACAGTGTGGCACACCCATGCCACTGGCACGTCTACCCCCCTCAAGGGGCAGAGAGACGTTGTTATGTGCTGGCTACAGGTTCAGAATTCTTATTCTCTCACCAAGCTCCCAACTCATTGTTGGTTCAGGCTGCTTTGGAAAGGTCCAGGCAACAACACCCCAGATCTGCTCCCACAGAGAAGGAGGGTAAACACTCAGATCTCCCAGGGAGGAAGGTTTTCTTGTCCTCCAGTCTTCAGGATAGCCAGTTATCAAGAGCTATTGGCTAAATATGATTTCCTGAACTATGCTAAGAGGAATTCACCAACAGCCTCCCACAGCAGGATCATACTCATTTCCAAGCTGTGATAGAGGAAGGAAAGTTAATATCCTGAACTGCCCTCCAATCTGGTGTCAATGTGGCCTGTCTTCTTCTTGGGCCATGGCAACTGCTATTGTTACCCGCATCCTTTGCTTTGGATCTTGTCTGTTTCATGGTGGAGAAGGAACTGAAGAGGCGATCGGTCTGCCCTGCCCTTTATTGCCTTGGTCGGAGGCACAAGGCAAGCTAGGGTGCATGCATGGACCAACAGACACTACTTTCAAATTCTCCGACTCCAGAGGCATGTTGTGCATGTGTAACCAAACAGTGGAATACAGATAGGGACCACGCATTTTGAAGAGCCTCCAGTTACAGGTAAGTAAACTCATCTACTTCTGACAGTAAAGGTTGCATCCTCTTCACCAGATGTAGATATAAGCATGTATTCCAGGTCATTGCTGTTGTGCAAGTAGGGCTCAAACTGCACTTTTTAGTTGCAAACTTGGGCAAACAATGGTAGAATAGGACCCCCAAGGACTTCTGTCATATCCTCCAGATCTTTTTCCTCAACATACTATTATCACTTCAGTCATGTCTGCATTGAAGTTTTTTAGACCATCTATACTTCAATCTCAACCAGATGTTATCTGTGCTGTTCAGTGATATTATCTGGGCTGAATGAGTGAGAAAGGGGGAGATATAAAGCTGGATGTTGTTTGTATGCCAAAATCTTGCACCTTGAGCCTTGAATCTCCTTGACCCTGGTAATTCTGGGAACACGCCTGGTTTTGGCACATTTTATGTATTGGTCTGTGATCTTCTGGCAATGGGTGAAGATCAAATGTCCATACTGATATTATAAGATCTATTCTAGTGGTTCTTGACTCAATCAGCACACAGCTGCGGCCCATGTGACATCCTTGGGGCCATACAGGTAGTATATAGTATGGATGTGGCTCACATAACACATAGATGCATATGCAGCCTACAGTGGTAAAAAGGTTGAGAACCACTGCTTTATGCTGTTGAATAGAAGGGGTAATTATATGGGCAACCCTAACTTGAGACCCCTTGGAGAGACAGAGCAGTTGCCAATAACTATCCATTGTGATATCTCCAAGAGAAAAAGAATAAAGTCACACTAAAGCAGCATCATTGTTCCACTAGAATTCAAAAGTTAGTCAGCAGCACCTCATGATTGACACTGTGGAAGGCTGTTGATAGACTCTGTGGGAGAGTGGTATACTATATATGGTACAGTACACTATGTATAAAGTATAGTACAACACTTCACCTAAAATGGGCATCTGCATATTTCTGGTGCAAACTTCAGTAATCCATGCTAGTCTGAAAACTATAAGTAAGTGTGAAATGCACATTTTGGATACTTTTATTTCTTTTTTAAAGTCACTGACTTTCACTTGCTTTGGTTGCAGAAAATCAGCCATGTACATTACTAAGCTCCAGTAGTGCCCTCATGTCTGATCTGGATAATGTGCCATCTGTGGGACAGTCTGAAGAGTTTACAAAACCACATGATAGTCCATTACCATTCTGTGGAAATGTGACTGAAAGGAAAAAACATGCAACATCTTGTAGATCAAACGCTCACGCAGGTATAGTGGATTTTAATAAAAAAGTGACCCGAAGTAATATGTCAGATTGGAGCATTGACAGGGGCGACACCACCAATGAAATGGGTTTGCAAGCAAAACCAAATGTGTTGTCTCATCCTGGTTCACCACTTCAACCTAGCAGTGAATTTAAGACAAATTCAAATGAGGTGCATTTTGGTAACCAGCTAAAGCCTGAGGAAACTGTTTATGATACTGAAATGGAACTGACTGCCAGTGATGTGGGTAAGATACTCACAATTACATCAAAAGCCAAAAATAAAAGGAATAGTAATGCCAAAACTTTTAAAATTTCAGCAAATTTGAGAAAAGTGAGGTATTCAAACAAAGGAAAAAAAGATAAAGAGAAAATTAAAAGCGATCCTAAAGGCAGTTCAGATTTTCATAGTGAAAAAAGACACACAAATACTGAAAAGATTATAGATTCAAACACTAATGAATCAGACACTCCAAAGTTTCAGTTGGAGGCAGAACAAGTGGCTAAAAGGAATGCTTTGGGAGAGCTGAAGCTACAAAGGACCAGTAAACATGATGTACAGAATTCCCAATACAATGATAAAGCTACCA